CCTCTTAGTTTAATAAGCTTTAAACTGTCTACAGTATATAGTACTACAGCTTTTGAAATACCAGCTTCTCAGAAATATGAACTCTGATAATATTTATTATCTTTATTTTATTAAAGATAAAGTTTTCCCCTTACCTTGTGAGTAAATAAGAGCGTAGAACTCATTTCACTGTATCACTACATAGTGTAAAAGTACAGAAGGCCTGTGGCTTGTAACTGTGGGGAAAAATGAAAACATTCATGGAATTTCAGTTCTGTTTGTAGTTAAAGGCCTGGAGACTATTCAGGAACTATTACAGTGATTTTTTATTACTGTTAGAATGGAAATTTGACACTCAGTATCACTAATCCTAACCGACTGCATAAAACATAATTGAAATTATGGCAATAACTGTAATAACTGACTGAAAAGAGTCGTAAGCAAACGGGCATAGTTGTTGGATGAATACTCAGGAGTGAAATGAGTATTCATTAATGCCCACACTTGCTCTCCTACCTTATGAAAGCCAGCTAACGGTTTATGCTTCCTGAAAATGCTTTTCATTTTTAATGGCCAAAATGTTGGAGAAGAATAAAGAAAATGGCAGTAAGATCGTTATAAGACTTATCTCAGGGGTCCCCCAGAGAGGCCCACATCCAGTTACTCCTGGATTTGGAGGTTTTGTAAGGTCACCTTTAAGCTACTGATGAATCAAGAAAGTTCAGAACTCTAGTTTTTGAGGGTACTTAGATTTTAGTAAAAAATGACTTTTTTAAGATTTAGATTCTTCTACCTGTATTCATAAGCAAAACTACAAATAAGGTTTAAAAAGTAACTTAAAACAGTTATTAAAACATATATTGTCCCACACAACATATGTGGGGTGAAGAATAATCAGAATATTTTCAGAGACGTACTCAGAAACAAATAGCCTAAATAAACCACAATATTGTACAGCGCACATGCATCTGCATTAATGTCATCCTTTGGTAGGAATACTGTTGTGCTGTACAAGCTAGACTCTACAATTGTTAAACAAATATGCAAAGCCCAATAAATAGTGGAACCACTGTGCCAAGTTTTGAAGAAGAGCCTATTCTGCATTTCCTAATTTGGAAAGAACACTACAAACATGTCTTGTTTTTTCAAAGATTCAATTTGTTTGAAAAGATCTCCAATAGCAATGAGGCTCAAATAAACTCTTCTCAGTACTGGATTCAAGCCATTTGTCAATACACACTTTAACTAACTGGGAGGAGAAACAGTTCTTGTTTTTTTGTACACATAGTGTCTTCTAATTTGCCTTAACGCCTCCAGAGCTCCTGAACTATTCACCCCTTCCGATGACATCCCATTTTAGTGAATTCCATATGATTGTAATGTATGTACATTTTTAAAGTTTTTATTTTAAATTAAACCTTGGATGCTCAAACTGAAAGGTTAAGGTTATACAGAAAAAATAAGTAAAAAATAAATAAAAAAACCCCAACAAAAATCCAAAACTAAACTTTATACGATTTCTCACTCTCCTGATTAATAATAACTAGTAATAACAGCTTTAATTCCTTTTGGATAAATCTATACACAGTAAGGGTTTAGTTTGAGCATTTACGTTCTGATTAAACTTCTTCACTTTTACACAGCGTACACCTCACTTGTAATGTTTAGATAGATTGCAAGAATATATCAACGGCTGAAAAGCACAAGCAGATTACTTTGGAAGTTTTGACTATCAGTGAGAAAAGTAATGAATCTCACAAATAAATAAAAAAAATTAGGAAAGAACCTAAATATCCTCAGCAAAACACATTGAACTACCACTTAAGCACAATGCAATCATTTTGCCCATACAACAAAGATGAAATAGATTTTGTCTTCTGTGATATACTGTACTGTCTACTGAAGACATCTAGGCCATTTAGGTACTCAAAATGAGAACATATTTCACGATCAACCAATCCTACAAGAACATATTTCTGCCCATAGTAATCAGTAATGTGCTAATGGCTTCCTATTAGTGCAATACTTCCCCAACATTTACCGACTGCAGGAAGTGGGACATTATAAACAATTAGGCGGCAAGACATTCAATTTCATAGCCAGAGAAGCCTTAAGCAGAGCCATAGTCCCTACTGTACTTAGCTTCCTGAATTTGGCAACTGACATTGTAACAAAACTACTTTCAGTTGGAAAAGGCTTCTGTACAGAAATTAAATTAAATTTAATAGTTTAGTGAAAGTTCTCAGGATTTGGTTTAAAGAAATCTTCCCTTAGGGAGATGCAGAGATCTGCACTATTCATATTTAAAAAAAAAAAAAGATAGTGGAAGAAAATGTTCCTGAAAAGAGCAAGAAACCACTCTACAACAGCAGACTTGTTTACTCTACATCCCTGTTGACTTGATCGTGTTCATCTTAAGCACAGAGCAAACTTAATTGCTATATTCAGATATCTTTACTTTGTAGTACTCCAAAACATTTTAAGTGTAAAAAAATTACACTATAAATAGTTTAGAAAAATTCACATTTTTTATAAGCCTATCATTATCACCAACCTGCAGTACAAAAAAAGTATCATATTAGATTATCATCAAAACATCTTTTGGCCTGATTTATATCCTCATATTTAAGCAGTTCTTCTGCACTGTAGAATACTTGGATAAAAGATGAGTTTAGATTGTAGAAATTTGAGTTTTACCGTGTCATTAATAGTCATACAGTATACTATTGCAAGCTAGTGTTCTGCAAACTATTGACTATTATATATATATTATATATTGGCATACTGTATATAACATTATCTTGAAGATGATCCCTGCCTTTCTCCAACTGTATCTTCAAACTCAATGTATGAACTATGAGTTCAAGTTGATATCTTGTAGTCTTGTAGACAATGTGGAGAAGCAATAAAAAGGCAAACAATGTTAGGAAACTGAGTTAAAAATGTAGAAAAGTATAAATTTCAGTTTTGTTAAAATTGAAAAAATATCCAAATGAAGGTTGCATTTAGACTACTGTCCAAATTTGGTCACTACATTATATTGCGGTTCTGGAATCAGTCACTGAAAAGCTACCAGCTGCATCTCCATGCTTACAGAAATATCCAACATTGATAGACCAAAAATGACCTTTTCTAGTCTTTAACAGAGTAGACTGAAGGGCCTTGGCTGAAGTACTCAAAATCCTGAAAACCAACAACAAAGTCAGCCCTGTGGATGTCTTCAGGAGCAACAGTGAAACATGAGCCAGAAGACAAGAGGAAACTACATGGAAGAGCACTTCACAACTTCAGAGGCATTTGACACAAAGAGTTGTGGGATTCTGGAACAGCACAAATTTACAAAACCTGTTAAAATTCAAGTTCAAGTTCAAGCTCAAAATGAACCTAGGCATGGTGGAAAAAGTGAGAAATTGGAAAGTAAAATTGCATTTTCTGAAGATGCATGCTGAACAGTTTACATTGTGTGAATGTCTTACAGAAAAATGATGGCATTTTCATGGAGAAAAAGGAACTCAAAAGAACTATTCAAAACAACAAAAGAGCTACACAAAAAAAAACACCATGAAATAGATTGGTTTTGTTCTTCTGATTCTGTGGAAACGTCAACAGGGAATCTCAGTCTAGTACAACACTGCAGACACAGGAAGATATATTTAAAAACACAGAGGAGATCAACTCGATTTTAAAGCACACATATGGTGGCTGTGATGTTTTTAACAATAGGAATAAGGTGGGGTTTGTTTTCAATGTGGGAAAATAGAATCCAAGATCACGAAGCTTCAGAATCATTTGCAGTGCATTTTAAAGTACTACTGTACGCTTCCTGTACATGGAAAAACATTTCAGAACATTTTTCAGATGCATTTTGATATCTGACTGATATTTTAAGTTATCTTTGTGATGTTACTGTGAATTATGTTATTAGCATCTTGTTTCCTTTTCTGGCAGCATACACAATATTTTAGTACAATATTAACATTTTAATCTAAAGGGTATATGTTAATTTTAGCATGTTCCAAATCAAAGCGTGAGCACACAGTAATTTAGCACATATTTTAAAACCAATAAGAGCTACTCAGAAAAGGGAGAACCTTCTCAGCAGCTGACGATTTCCAAACAGGGTGAGGAAGAAAAGAGGGATATTTGGAAAACTGGGAACTTTGAGGAGGGCGAGTACAAGCCCCTAAGCTGTTTGAACTGGCTGACAGTCGTGTCTCTCCTCACAGCAGACACGAGTTTCAGGGAGGATATGTAGAGTTTGGGGAATGCAGGAATAATGGGGTGGCCACTAGAGAAAGCCCTAAAGATGGGGTCAAAAGAATATATTTGTATACAGTTCACACATATACTGTAAATATGTATAAATGACTTATTGGAATACTGGAATGTTCAGAGCCTACTAATTTGGCTTGTGGAGACTATAAATTGTTTCAGAACAAAAACCAAAAGCCTTCACTGCATCTGTTCTATTCTGTCTACCAGTAAACATACAACACTCTCAGCAGAAGCTGAATTTTACTTACAAAATAATGTGTATATGAATAGGCAGAAAGCATGACAATGTCCCATAATGATTCCTATTAATTGCATGTGTTGGGAGTACTATGTGAAGCTTCATTTACTCAAATGCCTTGGTTAGACTGCAGAGATCTTTGAGAACTGAAAAAGGTGGACCCCCTGGGGTGAACTGACTACAGAAAGGCATCCGTTGAAATATGCTGAGGTACTTCAAAGCAGACTGAAGTGTAATATCTGAAACACAGTTTTTTAATTACCACAGAAGTATATATATTTTTTCAGAAATTTAGTAACATTAGGTTTCTTTTAGTTTTTATAATGTGAAAATAGGTTAAGAGACAAAAACACATTGATAAAATGAGGTGGTGGGTGGCATTTCATCAAACTGTAACTGCTCGCCAAACACCTCTCTCAGTTACAGCAGGATGTGTGACCCTACTGTATGAAACCACCGCACTGAGCAACAACCAGGAAACAGATGGAGAAAGCAACAACAGGCCTACCTACGAATCCTCCTTCGCCAACCAGCTTCAGAGCAATCTTGTCCGCCAAAACAGATGAATTGCCATGCGCAATGTTTGCAAAAGGACCAGCATGCACAAACACCGGTGTTCCCTAGTTCAAAGAGAGAAAGAAAATAGGGTTTACAGTATATTGACCAACAATCCATTCAAGAAACAAAGAAGCCTAACGTGCAAACAATGATAATATCACAAAGTCAGGCGACTGGTTCCACATGGTAAAATAAAAGTCTATCAAAATCTTCATTCTGTAGGTTTAGGAAAAGGTAAATCATATTTACCCAGTTTAGCAACTAAAATCATTGCATACATGCATGTATACATTGGCAGTGAGCCACATAAAACATCTGAAAAAAAGTATTGATTTATATTTGAATAATACATTTACATAATACATAAATAAAACACCTCAAAGAAAATGCAACTGCTGATATACAGTACCAGTCAAAGGTTTGAGCACACCTGCGTGAAACCAGGTTTTTCATGATTATCTGTGCTTTAAACTGTATGTTAGTTTTTCATTTTCAATAAAATGAACACCCAAAGAAAGCGGATTTCAGTCTGAAGCCCATGGTGTTAGAATGCTAAAATAAGTTAAAAATTGTCTTTGTTATATGTTCTCACAGTTAATTAGCACATTATATCATTTACCTTTTGTCACCAATTATTGGTAAACAGGTGAGGATCCACGATTACTATAAATATAGGGAGAATGGGCAAAAGTTTGTCATTCCTGAATGAACATGGCAAAATCTGCTCAGCAAGCAATAAAAAAAGACAGTCTATAATAACTTTAAGAAATGAAGGTCAATCTTGAAGAAAAATTGAAAGAACTTTGCGAGTGTCAGTAACTGCTGTGGCCAAGACTATCTAACGATATGAAGAAACTGGTACTCATGAGGACCGAAAATGGTCAGGTACCAGAGAATACGTTCATTAGAGTGACAAGTCTGCAAAACCGGTGACTAACTGACCCCTGAAATACAAACTGAGCTCAATGCAACTACTGTAGAAGTACAGATGTTTCAACATCAACTGTTCAGAGGAGGTTGCGTGAAGCTGGCCTCCAAGGTCCAGTTTCTGTGTTTTTTGGCCCAGGCGAGTCTCTTCCTCTTATTCTGCCCTCTTAACAATGGTTTCTTTGCAGCAATTCATCCAGGCAGGCCAGCTTCACCAAAGCTGAGGAACAGGCTCTAAATTTGATGCATTGACAGAAAACCTAATTAGATCAGTTTAAAATCTAGACAGAACTGTTCACATTCAAAATTGCAAAAATAAACAGCCAATTGCAGCATTTTCTTTTCAAGAAGGTGGATACTTTTAACGACTAAAAGGTTTATGTTACAAGCTTCCTCCTGTTATGATGAGAGCAATGTAGGGACACCACATTCCTGCTAAATGAAATGCACACACACACGGCTTCTGTACCATTTCACATCCAAATAACATTACTGTATAAAACAAAAATAATAGAGTATTGTTTTCAGCAGTAAGCATCCTACAGGAAACAAAAAAAAAGCTTTGAACATGGAAAAAAAACAGCTGGAGAAAAAAACAGTTGCCACAGGTATAGAATAGGGGTTAATCTGTGTGAATGATATAATTTCTGTTGTTGGTGGAAAAAAGGAACACAGTGGATACAGATATGCCCAAGAGAAGTATTACAGCAACAACAGGAAACCAGATTAATTCCTTTGCCCTTAACCTTGTTTTGCTCCCCAAACAGCACTTTCTGTTTAGTGCCATCTCTTCAGCTCAGATCAACAGGGTTATGGTGTCATTCAGTTGTTGTACTTTAGTTGCACTTTAAATGTCCCTCAGAAGTCCACAAGGTTAGTGTGTAGCATGTAGTCTGTTCATTAAACAGTTGGTATTCTAGTTAGAGGATGAGAGGCACTGCCATTACCTGTAAGATGGATTTGCAAAGCAACACATGCAATCGATTTAAACGCAAGGAGGTAACGGAGAATGCATAAGGCAGGAGACTGAATAAAGTGTAACCCAAGAAAAACAAAAGAAGCCATTACATCATGGGGCGAGCACAAGCAAGTTAAGCAACTGAAATCTCCCTGCAAAAACTCAAAAAGAAACTTTGAATGGGATCACTGCAAACCATACGAAGCAGATGGTTGTGCACAGCGGCACATTTCTTCAACTCCACACTTTAGTCATTAAAACAGTTTTAGTAAAGGTTTTTTTTGGTTGTTTGTGCCTGGGACTAGTTTAAGAACTAGAGGAAACTCAGCAGTAAGAGGCTTGCATAAGAAAATGATGTATGAGATGATCTCAAGTTCCAGTTTGCCTTCTGCTCAGGGGGTGAACATTCCCCTTCATCGAGGCTCAGTCACGACTTCAAACCAGCTGAGTAAACAGATCGAGCTGTCTTCACTAGCTCGATCATTAATATGACAAAACAAGGGATATTACAGACAGGGCTGGTACAAAGAAACAACCCAGAGTGTTGAAGCAAATGACAAATGTATTACATATTTAACAACAATGTTAATGTGCTCATAAGGCTTTGGTTTCTATCAGCCGAGCTGAATGTGTACAGAGGTAATGTGATTACATACAGCATGCTTATCTAAATATTAGATAATAAGCATAAACTGACAAAGGGCAGGGGAAAATGATGTATACATAAGATTCATTAAGATTTCTGCAAACCAAATGCAAAACTCTTTATGGATTACGTAAACTGACACCCTGTTCTTTGTGATTTTTACAACAATATTAACTGAACTTGTAACCTCATGTTTCAGTTTTCGTGCAAAGAATACTTAGGATTTGGTTATAATGACCAAGAAAAAGCTACTCTCAGTTTTACTCAGTATTAACAGTTTACCATAAAACCACATAAATCGTTTCCACACCCCTGTCATATCTTGTGAAAACCTTTCAATGCTATTAATGATTATCTACCATGCTTTTTTAGACGGCAGGACAATTTGCGCTTGAAAATAAAAATCATTGTGTCTGAAACATTTTGTTAGGTCAAGGACCACCTTAAAGACCAAACATAATCATGAAGAACTGATGGGGCATAAAGACCCTTCATACATATGTCTTGGATGTGAACAAGTAACATTCTGTATATCTACATACTGGCAACAAAGTTTTAATAAGGAAAAAAACGCATTAAAGATGACGCAGAAGGATCTGAGAAAACCTCACTCATTTCAAAGTAATTTTAACGCTACTGTATTATAAGAACATACAAATTCTTCTTTTACCAATATTGTAGCATGAACATCCTTTTTAGGAACGGTTACTAAAGAAAGGAGGTTATTTGGCTCATCTAACCCATTTGGTAGTTAATAGGTAAAGGACTGAAGGATTTCATGCAACTTTTTGGATTGCTTCTATAATCTGGTTCAACTGGCTTTAAAGAGGGAGACTCTCTAAAGAGCCTGTTTGATAGTAAAAATTCCTTTCATGAACAGTACCTAGTGCTTAACACAGTACAATCTGTTTCCTCTTTATCAGGTCATTATCAAATGTGTATTTAGCACAATGTTTTGTTTTTCCATTTGAGCTTTGCATCATTTAAAGCTTTTAAAAAGATTGGTGTCTGTTTATCTGAGTGCTTGTCAGAGGCAATGGCGATCATTTTTACTCTCAGCACCCCAAAAGACAGAGGGCTACGCAAACAAATAACAGTTTTCTTTGAGGCACCGGCTCCTGAATGTGTTAAACTATTTCCATCATTGCATGATAACATTCCATGGTCTTTCTTTCTCTGGCTAGAAATGAAGTATATTCACTACCTGAGAAAGAAACGAGGAAGACCTCACACATATGTGGGTTTCGTGGAGCTGTTTTCAGACGACGATAAACCTGGCATACACAGCAAGGCTGACACTCGGTCAGGCCTCTGGCTATCACGCCCCAGGCACCATCTGTGAAAACAGAGGCTTGGCCTTCACCTTGCACCATGGGGGCATGGGCCAGCACGGCGGAAAATTCCCATGGACCTGCCAACCTGGGCTCTGTGATAGGAGCTCAGACAAATGAAGAGCAGAAAACAAAGGCAGGAAAGGTCTTGCAAAATATGAAGAGTAAAATATCTCCATGCTAACCAGTGGAGATATACTTTTCACCACTTTCATACCGATAAACTCCCACTCCTAATCTAGTAACGCTGTCTAGCACAAAACGGCAAACCGTGGTTGGAGCTCAAATTGGCTGTCGAAAACAGCGATGAGGGAGCTGTTCATTAAGGATTACCTAGAGCCTTTTAAGAGACTTTTCAGCTTTCCCGCTAGCTGTACAATCAATACATTTTGAGAGTGATGATGCTGAACGTGCTGCTCAGCTTGCAATCACAGTCTGTTTAGTTTAATCTGGACATTGCTGTCTGTATCTTGGCATCCACTCAAAGAAAGCTTGGTTTTCTGTTTAGAAATTTTAACATTATACAGTTCCTTGCAAAGGCTTTAACCCCCTTCCAACGATGTCACGTTTTGTTGAATTACAAATTAAAAATGTGTATATATATAAAGTGAATATTTGTAATCAAACTTGAATCCTCCAACTTAACACTTTAATGGCCAAGTCAGTACCACTTACTACTGCAAAGAAAAACCAAAAATTAAAATACTGCAATATATTGCCCCTTTGTTATGGAAACCCAGAAACAGTTCAGGTGCACAAATCTACATTAAAAATTAGTTGGCCACGCTGTGCAAAAATAGAGGTTCAAATGATTTCAGAATACTTACATCAGTCTTTGTAAGGTTTTTCACTCAGCTAGTAAAATTCAAGTAAACATTCATCCATGAACAGCTAGGAACTTTCATAACAGCTTGGGAATAAAGTTGTTTTTCAGTAAATGTGTTTTGTAGTAAAGTACAGGAGGACTATATAAAATCTGCAGAGTAGCCATGTAATCAGAATTCTGTAAAGACATTCTCCATGTGCAGAGAAAAACACCTAACAATACATGAAGGGCCAAATTAGGCCAATACCCATTGTTAATCAATATACAGAAGAGCGAACTAAATTATTGGTTACACCTAAAAACCAGTGACCTGATTTTCTACCACGATAAGGCCCTGTTAAGCAAAGAACAGTAGAGCCCCCTCAGCCAGGTGGTCCTGAAATCCATGAACACCAACTAGCCTCAGGACAGCACAGCTAAACATGTATCAAAGTCAACCAAACCACAGCACAGGCCAAACATCACTATCTTTCCCAATGGGAAACACATACGCAAACTTGAATGCTACGGGACCTTAAGAAAGACAATACACACTAGCTGAGTGTCAGAGCAGGGTAAGAGACCGCAAAGAGAAATAGAACAGGCTCAGTGACTACAATCTGGCCATATAAACTTGAAGACACAAGGAAGACCTGGCTGCCCGAAGAGGACAGACTGTGCTCCCACTGCCAGCAGGGAGAAGCAGAGACAGAAATGCATTATCTCTTGCACTATGAGAAATACTTTAGAATAAAACAAATATTCTTCCTAACAAATCTAATCCCAGAATTTGCATACCTGCAAGAACCAGAAAAGCTCTCAGTCCAAAAGGAAGGAGAAAGACAGAACTGACCACATACTACTGTATGTGATCTCCTGTCAGCCTGGGGAACAGACAATGATCCTGTCTCACAATGTTTTAGGTGATGTATGTAAATGTCCAATAATATTTTTGTACTGTAAATATTGCATTTATTATATCTGTTTTGGCACCGATTAATCGGTGATGCCAATAAAGCTATTTGAATTTGAGTTGTAAAAACATTTCAAAGATACAGAGTATCATACTGAGCATGTGGAAGTCAATCTCAGAGAGGGAGGGAGAGAGAGAGAGAGAGAGAGAGAGAGAGAGAGAGAATTTTACCATTCAGACATTGTCTAGATGAGGCTGTCCCTCATTACTGGCATGGGAAACCACTTTGAAGCCAATGGCAACTTCAAAATACCTAGAGTTTAATGGCTGAGAAGGAAGACAATGCCAATGAGTCAACAATACTCCTGTCAGTCCAAAAAGCTAGCCTGTATTGTAAATGGCAACCCTACATGGAGGCATCTGGGATAAACCTGTATATAGACTCTTCTTTTAAAGACTTAAAGGAGTTATTTTATCAACTGAGCATGGTGAAGTCAAACATTAAGAAGTTGAAGTCACCCCCATACTGCATAGATCACAAACTGAGCAGCAGGCAAAAAGGAAACTGGTTAGTGGCGCCACTATGATACCAATAGACTTTGAAAGAGTTACAGAGCTCAGTGGCTGAGATGAGAAAAAATGTGTCAACAATATCCCAGTCACTTCACAAAGGAGCTTTTATGGATCTGGAAAAAAAAAAACATCTCAACACCTTGCAAAGGGTTTTCACCAAAGCACTTTAGTGATGATGCGAAAGTGGCAAAAGGTTTTATGGTCAGTCAAAACAAAATTTAAATTTTTGATCGAAATGCAAAGTGTTACATCTGGCACAAACCCACCACCGTGCATCACTCAGTTAACAACACCCCTGCTGACAAGCATGGGGGTGGCAGCATTATGTTATAGTTCTGCTTCTCATCAGCAGTGACTGGGAAGCTTGTCCCAGACTGATGGTAACAAAGATGGAGCAAAGTACTGGAAAATGGTACTTGTTCTTATTGGTATAGGGTTCTTGTCCTTACCAGATTGAACCAGGTTTTCCCACCAATACAAAACACTGGTGGAAAACCTGGTTCAGTGTGGTAAGCACATGAAACTGGGAGGAAAATTTAGCTTTTAGCAGGGCAATTACACAAAGCTCAAGGTCAAGTGGCTTAACGAACAAAAAAACTAACGTGAATTTCCTTGAGGGACCAGTCATGACTTCAATCTAATAGAAAATCCATAGGAAGACATTGAAAACTGCAGTTCATAAACATGTTTTTGCTGTTGCACAAAATGACAGCCTTTCTCAGTGTATTGTAACTTTCTGTTCAGCAGTGCAATATTTTCTTCCTTCTACATGATCTATAATTTTTACATTAAATAAAATAAAGGTATTCCCATGTATTTTGTTAGTAATACCCAAAGTATACTTATGGGTGGAGTCCATTCGCAAATCAAACTAACTACACACTACACATGCCAACAAATACAATTGGAAAAATACCACTGGTATTTTTCATAATGACATGGAAAAGGTTTGATCATCAAAACAGAGCAAGACCTTTGCTTACATTCATTGCAAAGACCATGTGTTACTGCCAGTGACACTTCCAGAAAGACCTTGCAGTCTCTCTGCACATTCTGACACATGGAAAAAGCTCTCCACCCTTTTTGGACGGACCTAAACCAAAAGAAAATAGGAAAATTGTAGAATTTCTATTTTGGACTCCACCACTCCGATATTTCTAAATTCTGATGATTGTGTTGTACTGTAAATCTATTTCTCCTTTTCGCATCAAACTATTTCTTCTTGTCCATGTGTCCTACTGACACATATAGTACATAGCTTTCACAAAATACAAAATAACTATTCTCATAATTATTAAAGCTGTGCACAATTTAACATATTTAAACCTTTATAGGACATACTTAACAGTTTTTGGTAAGTTTTTTTTAAGGTTGAAAATCACATTAGCCATGTCCAACCCATTGTGAACAATTTATGAAACAGTTGTGTCTGCCTCCTCTGGGCTATTACTATTTAATGAAGAACTTTGTCCTTCTACTGCGTGAAGAATATTCCTTTGTTAAACTGAGTGAAATATTCATTTAGTACATCAGCCATTTCCCATTCATTGTCTTAAAGCTTCTCATTATTGTCCCGGATACAATTCACTTAATGCCTCTTTTGGGATCTTTATCATCACACAGGGCCCCTCATGCTTCTGAGACCAACACAAGGATTTTGTAGGTACTCTGACAATCTGGGCAAGAAAGCATTCATGAACCATGTCTACCATGACGTGAAAACATAAGTTTGGTTTCTGCTGCTGACATTGCTCTGAGGTTTTCCCAGTCTTTGTAAGGAACATCAAAGCAAATAAAAATACACAAAAGTTTTAATTTCATGAAACCATGTTAAATTCACAGAATTGTCTGAAAATGTAAAAGCTTCTATTTCATGTATTTTATCTGTTATACAGACAATACAGCCTCTGCAAATCAACAGTAGCTACTCACTACAAACACCAACACATATAGCTGTGAGCCACAGGTTTGCCCTAATTGCTTGTGTATTTGTGACCTGTGGCCACTATTTTACACAGATTGGGTAGGTCCAGATTTGGCTATATTTGTAGACAGATTTTCACAATTTTCGAATTTTCGAGGAGTCTTACTAAATGATAATGCCATGGCATGACTGGACCCTGACTGGACATTATTTATATGATGTGGTCTACTGCCTGGCTTCCTGGTGCTGGAGGAAGGTGTGGAGTGTTGCT